GTTCAATCTCTAACGTTCTGCTCTCTCTGCTTTTTCTCATAGTAGCTTCATCTGGTCTGTTCCTGTTTGGCTGTGACTCCATCCTGGAGGGATCAGTTCCATTCTGTTTAGATCAGTTCCATTCTGTTTAGATCAGTTCCATTCTGTTTAGATCAGTTCCATTCTGTTTAGATCAGTTCCATTCTGTTTAGATCAGTTCCGTTCTGTTTAGATCAGTTCTATTCTGTTTAGATGTGGGACCAGTCTCTGTATCAGACTTACAGCATCAGCATCAGTGGCAGTCAGAGGAGCTTCCTTCCTGGTCCTGTGTGGAGCAGGACACCTCAGTCTGGGCTACAAAACACACAGACACATTTCTTTAGCATTGTTGGGACTTTCCATTGACTTCCATTTATTTCTACAGCCTAACAGTGAGCCTTACCCTAAACCTAACCTAAACTCAATTCACACCTTAGTCCTAAGCCCAACACGTAACCTTAGAACAGCATTGGTGTCCATAGAGGCCAGACAATGACCCTACTACAGCAGCCAGATCCAATGACCCAATGTGCTAATATTTATGGAAAACAGACCCCATAACGTAAGAAACACCCGCCCACACACACGCTGATGATCTGCTCCTCAGTGCTTCATGGTTCATTCTGTATTCTACCACAGAGTAATAGGGCCAGGCTGGAGATTTTATGTAATACCAGAATAAAGTCATAAGATTCTGAGAATAAAGTCACAACATTATGAGAATAAAATTGTAACATTATGAGAATAAAGTTGCAACATTATCAGAATAAAGTTATAATATCATGAGAATAAAGTCGTAACATTACGAGAATAAATTTGAAAAACAATGAGATGAAGTCATCATACAACACATTTCAGAGAGAAAGCTTCGCGCTGCGTCCAGCAGATGGCGGCCATCCAGCTCCACCAATCAGCAACCTGAGTCCACTTTGACTCAGACATACTGATAATAACTTGATGCTAAAAGACTTCATATTTCCTTATTTATCAAACCGATGCCAAAGTATAACTTCAGAAGATGCTCAACATTCCTCATTTTAGGGAAGACGGTGCTTCTGGTGACAGTTGTCATGAAATAAAACTTTATTCTCATAATGTTACAATTTTATTCTTGTAAAATTACGACTTTATTCTCATAATATTATAACTTTATTCTCATAATATAATGAGGTTATTCTAATAGAAATCTCTTGCCTGGCCCTAATTCTCTGGCATATTACTCTCACAGTGAGCTGAGCTGAATTGACTGCACCAGGACTTAGTTTTCTCTCTGCACTGATCTCAGGTCTGCGTCTGTTTCTCTGGTTCACTTTCTATTCTCCTTGTTCGCCTGAGTCCAGCTTTCACTACACTCTTCCCCACAGATGATCTTCAAGTGATCCAAATTGTCACCTCTGTCCTTATTCAGCTTCAGCTGAGTTCCCATAAAAGATTTATGTCCATTTTACATGAAAACATGAAGGTCTGTCCCTCTGAGAGACCAGCTCTTCCTCCTCCTCTCAGTGTGGGTTACCTTGTTGAGCTGCTTGTGTCTCTGCAGGACCAGATTAATGACGTCGCAGACGAAGGAGATCTTCCTCTGAGAGAAGCCCCACTGGAGGAACTGCTGTTTGCTCAGGACAGGTTTATAGTGGAAGATGTCTCTTAGAACCTGGAGACAACAAATCTCTGTGAATCTGTATGCTGATAAAAACAAACAGCACCTTTCTAAAGCAGTGAGAGGTTGGTGCTTTCATTGGTCAGCAGATGTAAATGTGACGGTTCTGGGACTCAGCTTGTCTCTTCCTGCTCCCTGCAGGACACCATGTTACCTTATAGAGCGCGTCGGTGAACCTGAGGTCCGTTTTTCCCGTCATTTCCAGGCCAGCTGCCACCAGCTGCTCCGCAAACGGTGCAGAGAAGGAGGTGAGGGTGAAGCTGAGTATGGGCAGAAAGGTGGAGGGGTCTCCTTTGGAAAGCCTGATGCAGAAACAAAAAACATCTTAATTAACCCCGACCCAACTGAATCAATTCAATACAATTTCTATAGCGCCAATTTACAATATTTATAATTCAACCAGATCATCCAGTCAAACTAAATTTAATATTATTAAATTAAGGACATGAAGCAGAAAGAAGTCGTTTTCAAATTATTCCCAATAATAATTTACCAGTTGATGTATTTTTCTTCTACAGTGGGAACTAGTTCCAGATAATCAGCGTTAGCTCAGCTGTGGCATGCAATTTGAATTTAACCAGCTCTGCTACGGAAACAACTAAACAGATGATATGGATGAATTCATATATACTGATAGATGGAACACCTTTCTTTTTGAAAAGCATGTTTTTAAGAGGACTTATATTTGTTAATGACATTATTAATTAGAATGGTAAAATGATGGAGTATGAGGAATTTAGAA